AGAGAAATTTTCCTGCAGTATTAGACCTTGGCACTTAGCTGCTGATTAGAAGTGGTACAGGACAGATGCAAGGTGTTATATACTATACATAATTAGCATAAAATTTATTGCCATGAGAAATGATTCCTGTTATTATAGAAGACTTTAAGTAATATTTGGCCAATGAGAGAGACTATAAGATTAATTTCATTGCATTAGATCAAGATTAGTATTGCCTTATGGAGCAAATTAATTCTTACGTTCATTTCTCTAACAAAGGCCATATTGATCCAGAATAATTAAAATCCAGGAGGAATTTAATAATAATGGATGGGGGGTTAGTGTTGGCAATGAGTAATTGGGAAATACATATAGTAATTACCTTTGTTGTGATAGGCATATATAGTGTATGTGGCACATTTGAAATATTCTACCTAACTCTTGTCTCTTATATTTTGAAAGAAATTTCATAGTTAAGTCATGGAATATGCTGTGATAACATCTACTGATTAACACTAATCTGAATTATTTTAATCCCCTTTTAAAAGAGATAAAGGATGAATCTATCAAAGTTATTAATCGGCATAGTGACATAATCAATACAGTGACTGATATCAACATTTATTTGGTATCAGTTACTGGGAAACAACAGCAGAAAGGACAATTAATGAAATTTTGTTTGCTGTACTTTAACTGATTGGCTGCAGCACATCCTTTGCTTTCTTTAACAACTTCAATTGTTCCAGCAGAGTTCTGTTTTAACGTTGTTTTTTCCCTTTTGATTGTAATCTAGAAATTGAGATAGATTTCCTTATTCCATGTAGATCATAACAGAGATTAAAATCATCACGCTTATTATTTGTATTCTACTAAGCAAATTCCTGCAGCCGAGTCCCTGTTCTTAGGACTCTTTCAATGCTGTGCCTGTCTGTCAAAAGACGGGATTGATGTCAGTGACCTTCAGTAAACATTGCAAGAGTTACATACTGAAAGTTGACTGATGCAGATGCAAGAGGTGTTGACAATATGTAAACGGTTTGAATAAGCTGTGCTTCTTTGTAGCAAGACTAGGCAAGCAACGATACATGCAAAACAATGGGAACAGAAAGATACCTTGAAATGAATTTGTTGCATGTTGCTTGTTCTATATAGCTCAGTGAAAAGGGAACAGATCTACATATCTAAATGCGCATACAGAGTATTCTTTGCAGTCAGTTGTCCATGCATGCAGAAATACTGTTCCTGGTTCCAAATGTGTTGCACAAAACTACCAACTAATTTCATTTTGTTTAGTCAATTATCTGGAGATTTGAAATCTACTGTGGGAAAAACGGACTCCCAAGGCAGGCAATTCTAACACAGAAGTAATTATTCTGAAATTATCTTTAAAAAGCTGGTTTCATTTATTATCATCTTTTTAAATTGCCAAATGCAGATTGGGAAGAAAAAGGTGTCCTTAGTCTTTAAAGCAAAGAGAGGAAATTGCAAGGGAAAGGGATTGTTGCTGGGAGAACTTTATTATCTAGTAAGATACATGGTAAGCCAGTGAATGAGGACTTCTCTTATCTCTCTGTAGGCTCATATAGGTATAATCAGGCCTGCAGATAGGAAGTGTCAAGATTATTCAGGGCTTTAAAAATGTAAATAGGCCTTTAAAGATCAAAATCGACACCTTGGATTGTACTTGGAAAGAGCCAGCCAACCAGTGCAAGGAATAAGTGCAATATATTCAGCCACTACTTGTACAATTCCCGTCTTTTCATATCATTTAAAAAAAGGGGGGGGAGGGGAGAATGCATTGAGGAGATAAATTCATTTTTATTTTTATTTTTTGAGTATATAGGGCTGTGCAAAACTTCAAGTTTGGTGATTCTGTTCAAAGCCGATTTCAGTCACATTGTTGAATCAACTCAACTTTCCGGACCAAATCAGAAAGTTGATTTGAATGTTTAAAAGGGGATCAAGTTGATTCTAAATCAGTTGGACATTTGAGAGTTCGGTGAATCAGTTTCCTATATATATTTTGGCTGTGGAGTTGGAATCCAGTGCTAGTGCTGATGAAAGCTGTTGCTGAAATCCAGATCGTGATTTACGGAAATAATTTTGGAGCGTGGACTGCCTTTACCACCAGAGTCACAAGGAGCTACATTTAGAGCAGCCAGCTGCTTCCCCCAACCTCTTCTCCCTTATAGGGGAAGGTGGATGATTCAGTAGTAGAGAAACTAGCCGGGGGTCTGGCTCTTATGGAACACGTTTTGTTTCCACTCTTAATAAGCTTTTAAACAAAGCTATTAGAGTATTGTCTCCGTTTCTGACACTTTATTTTATGCATTTTGTCTCCGATTGGCAATTAAGGCCTACATTTGCCAGGATGTATATCCTTAAAATGCAAAGCATTTTTCCAGTTTATATATGGAGAATTAGCAGACCCAAGCAGAGCTGTCAATTGCTGCAGACAATATAAATTTCTCCAAACTGTGCATCCTTATTGCTTTCGTTATTAGGTTGCATGCTTGTAGTTCTGACTGCAGTGGCAGGGAGTACCTACTCAAGATAGGATGCTCTTCGCAGGCAAGAGAGGAGGAGTAGCTTAATAATGTAACATTAGTATCCCTAAAGTTTTGTTAGTAATTGAGAAGGAACTCTGCTGGAACCCCAAGATCGGCTGGCTAGGCAAGGGATCAGTAATGACCTCGAAGAACCAAGAGTTGACTTCCTCAATATATAAGACATATCAACATTTTAATACCTTCTAAAGTTACTGTTCAGCTTGAGCTGTATTTATGGGTTGGATATGTTGACTACATTATTTTTTTCTCTTCTGTATCTTGTAGCCAATACACACTTAGGGAAGAGGAAATTTAATGTGTAAATATAAAAATCTTTAGAAGGTAGGCTTCAGAATTGTAATAAAAATATCTGATCTAACCTCTGAAATTGTATAAATATACTAGAAGTGAGCATCTGACACTTTGCCCATAAAGGAGCAGTCCTACAGCAGTGCAAAATTTTAATTTTGAGCACCATTGGGCATTTATTTTGTTGGTTTGAATGCCATCTAGTGGCTATGACGTTGCTGTAATGCACAAGGAGAACAAAGAGGATAAGTAAATATTTATGAATTGTTCCTTTGTCCTGCTTATTGTTCTGTTTGTTACAGTGTTTTAATTCTCCTGCCTAGTTTAATGCTGTACTTGCAAGAGCTTATGATTTGGGGAAAATGTATGTGGCGATGGAATCTCTTTTTGTACGTTAAGGCTTTCCCCCACTCTTAAGATCTTCCCCAAGATGCAAAATAATTTCTAAAAGTTTTCATGAAATTGTTCATATGGAATATGAAATATTAAATTCTAAATCCTGTAGTTATTGTAAGATACGTTTATAAGAAAACCACATTAGGACCTGCATTAAGTTCATTGATACATAAAAGGCCTAATTTAATTTTTGTTGTTAAATGCCAGAATTACTATATAAAAATATTGGAGAAACAAAGCACATTCTCTTTTGGATCAGTAATATTACAAGGGAGGGAAGATACTTATTAACACAGCAGCATAATCTTGCATAATTTAATTCAAGGTTTTGTGCAGAATGGATCTTCATTTTTATTCTTTCAATTCCATTGAAATGTTGGAAACAAATGATATAAAGGTTCTCCAGATCCTGTTGATTCATAGGATAATTATCTGCAGAGTGAACAGAATAGGGGAAGCTGGCAAGCAACACACTGAGCTTAGTAATGGGCTGGATCTGTGAAAATTATGGAGAAAAACTTTCCATAAAAAATTCCAGTGAACCCCAGTGATAGAACTTAGGTGCTCAAAATGTTGCTGATTGTTCCATTCCAAGGCCACCTTTCTTCTGGTCATGTGATGAATAATAAAGCACATGCTACTAGCCCTGTGGTTTCCACTGTATATCAGAGATTCAACAGATTACTGTACTCGGTCAGACAGAAAAGAATATAGATGAAAAGGTTGGAAAGAATCCCAGAAGCCACGATCTGCATTTTTTTTCTCTCCTTTTTTTATTTACAGTTGTATTGATAGAGAGAGATCAAGGTTTTTATTAATATCTGAGCATGGCCTATTACAAGTTGTGCATGCTAATTTGGGGGCCATAGGTTTTCTAGTGGCACACATACTGTTGCTTGCTCTGTCTCCTTTTTAAAAAGAGAATATAAGGGCAATGTATATTCACCTGAAGCCAAGGCTTCTGTGAGACACTTGTTCCATCCTCCAAAAAGGAGAATAACTAGAGGCTTTCTTTCTTTTGAAATGTCTAGAAGCTGCTACTGCTTTTTCCTGTTCTTCTCTAGTATTTACCTGCCAGATTGCAAAAGTCATTCTTTGGACTATTGATGGTGGTTTCTTCTGCTAATCTAGCCTTCTTCGTGTAAGACAGGGGTAGTCAACCTTGGCTCTTTTATGACTCATGGACTTCAATTCCCAGAATTTCTGAGCCAGCTTACCCCTGGTGTAAGAGGACTGGAGGCTAAATCATATAAGAAACGGTTGCTGGAATTGGGTATGTCTAGTTTAATGAAGAGAAGGACGAGGGGGGGACAGGATAGCAGTCTTCCAGTATCTCAGGGGCTGCCCCAAAGAAGAGGGAGTCAAGCTATTCTCCAAAGTGCAAACTAATCAAGAAGAGAAGCAACCTAGAACTGAGGAGAAACTTCCTGACAGTGAGAACAATTATCCAGTGGAACAACCTGCCTCCAGAAGCGGTGAATGCTGCAACACTGGAAGTTTTTAAGAAGAGACTGGACAGCCATTTGTCTGAAATGGTATAGGGTTTCCTGCCTGAGCAGGGTGTTCGACTAGGTCCAAGGTCCCTTCCAACATGATGATGATGATGATGATGATGAAGCTTGAGGATTTTTTAGTATGATACACAGGGAAGGTAGATTTTGGAGCAGTGAAAGTCTTTTTTTATATCTGTAATAATTTAAGATTTCTGCATAATATATTTGGAATGCCCTAAATAACACTCTTTCTCTCTCTCTCTTTCTCTTATAGAACCCACGGTGAGAACCTTTACTCCGTTTTATTTCCTAGTAGAACCAGTGGACACTCTGTCAGTTAGAGCTTCTTCTGTTATACTGAACTGTTCAGCATATTGTGAATCACCTCCAAAAATTGAATGGAGAAAGGATGGGACTTTCTTGAACTTGGTATCCGACGACCGCCGGCAGTTATTACCAGATGGATCTTTGTTAATCAACAGCGTTGTCCATTCCAAGCACAATAAACCTGATGAAGGTCATTACCAGTGTGTGGCAACGGTGGAGAATCTTGGCACCATTGTAAGCAGGACAGCTAAGCTTACAGTTGCAGGTGAAAACCTTGTTCGAATATCTATTGCCTACATTTTCCAAATCTGAGGTTAATATTTCTGCAGAAATAAATATATATTGCGTACTACAGGAGAAACAGGCTGAGAAGGTAGTCGTCCAAAAAAGCAATGTCTGTTTTAAAAAGAGGCAGTCCTCAGAGACCACTTCTTGTTTTGAAGCATTAGGGCAGTATATTTCTCAACCGTGGCATCTTTAGGATGTGTGAACCTCAACTCCCAGAATTCCCCAGCCAGCATGGAAAATGGCTGACTAGGACATTCTGGGAGTTGAAGTCGCTATAACTTTTAAGTTGTCATGGTTGTGAAACACTGCTTTAGAGGGTTAACTTTAGGACAGGTTTTACAACTACTACATAGCCAAAATCGTGGGCTCAATTGTAGTCATAAGTCAAGGTCTATGTCTGGTTTATATTATATATCATTTTGATTTATTCATATTGAGGTTAGTTACAGGTACACATTAAATAGCTAAATAACCTAGTATAATTCCTGACTCTGCCATTTCCTCCCCCACTCTATGGAGGTCATTTCCTAATTTTTTTAAAAAAAATATTAAAGTGAAATAGAGAACAATGAAAGGTTGGGTGAACATTGCCTCAGACTTTTCCACATGAAGCAGCTATGGTGTTTTCCTTCCTCAGGGGTTTTTCCTGCCTGATATCATTACAGAATGCCTTATGTTTGAGTGTATTGCACAGCCATTTCCCAACCACCACTAGTAAAATAATACTTTGTTACTGACAAGATGGAAGTACGGTCTCAGGCCCTTCTGATAGCCAAGATTCTCATTTAATTTGGGAGACGATCTGTCTCATGAGATCATTGTTACTGTCCTCTGATTTTTTGAAGCTGTCAGGAAATCAAAAGCCTACTTTCCTTTAGTAGAGAGTGAAAATAGTGAACCTTCATTTTATTACTTTCCTCATTACTTTGTGAACTTTGACATCTTCCAGTCAAACAAACATTTCTCAGTCAAATAATTTGGGAGTTTTTAGAAGCTGCTAATTTACTAGCTTCAGATTAAACAGTCAGAATATGTTTTAATTGAATATATTGCTGTTCAGCAAATTTGTGCAGCCCAAATTTATTTTATGGTACATTAAATATCTCGAAAGAATTATTAGCCACGAACTGTTTTAAGGCATTTAAAAAGCTTTTTCTATCTAGGTGAATGGTTACTTTGATCACCATTTGCAATTATAGTTTCCTCTTTCATTTCTCATTGTTTAGAAAAGGGTATAGCATTAGTATGGCTGGCTGCAGATTTGACATTTTTACCCACCTATCAAATCTTTCCCAGGGGCCTGGGATAGGCAGATGTTGTTCGTGGTGTTAAAGGTATCATCACAGGATATATAAGCTGTTGCAAATAAAACTGCTTTTTGCAGTTGACTGATGATGATCTTGTCAATGCTGATGGTGTTCAAATGGTGCTCCAGATGTTTCAGGATTGCATCCAAGGTGCCTATGACTACTGATGCTATCTTTGCTTTCTTTTGCCACAGTCATTCTGCCTCTGTTTGCAGGTCTTTGTATTTTTTGATTTCCTCCAGTTCTTTCTTTTCTATTCTGCTGCCTCTGGGTATTGCAACATCTACTGTCAGATTTCTTTGTCTTTTTTTTAATCAATAATTGTTTATTTGGGAGCATTATGTGGCAGCTACTTGTCGAATTCTAAAGCTCTTCCAACTTCTTCATTTTCTATGATTGTCTCTTTTGTGGTCCCACCAGTTCTTGCTTGTGGGACAAATGGTATTCCTTGCAGATCTCCCAATGTACCCTTGTTGCTACTTTGTTATGCTGATGCTTGTAAGCAGCCTGTGTGATCTTTTTGCAGCGATTAGCTAGGTGGCCCACACTTTCCTTCTTTGAAGCAGCCGGCATTTGTCATCTGTTGCTCTTTTATCAATGTTGACTTTATGTCCATTTGTTCTTATGCAGCCAGAATTAAGCCCCTCTGTCTCTTTCCTTAACTTTCTTACTCTTAATCATTGGGAGATATTGTTATTTATTTATTTATAGTTTTTTCATATTTAGGCTATAAAGATTTTTTTTCAGCATGATTGATCCTAGACCATTCATCTAAATGTTTGCATTTTTATAATACTAGAAGTAAAAGTGTGGTATATTATAATAAGCTTTCCAAGGGATACTACTATAATAACTTGGATGGCAGCTATGCAAATTCAATATTTTATGCTGTTGCCGTTTATGGACTCAACAGCAGAATAAATACTTGTGTTGTACTTACTTGTGTTAGTGACTTTTTTTTTTTTTTTCCCTTTGAGTCAATGTTGATTCCTGGCTACTTCCTGTTCTACTCTCTGAAGTTTTCTTGGTAGGATTTTGGAGAAATGTTTGCCATTGCTTGCTTCCTAGGGCTAAGAGAGAGAGACTGGCCCAAGATTATTCTTTTATATTTTATCACAGCTTTTCTTCTTATGTTTTTCTTTTTAGTTCATGAATTTTTTAGCTGTACTTAACTATTCATCTGACATGCTACTTTCTCCCTTCTGATTTTAATCTGTGGTTCCAATTAGGCTCTAATTTAATTAAATATATAATATGGAGCAGCTGTATGATATCAGTTTCTACTGTCTCATTATTGGTTATGGCATTCAAAAGTAATTTCTCAGAGGTAAACTAGAATCTTTAATAACACAAGAACTTGCATTCCTAATGTTCACAAGACACCTGGACAATGAATTTATGAATCTTTTCTTTGCATAAAAATACTAGCTTAAAATGCTGTTTTAATTTCTCAGGGCAAAAGAAAAGATACAGGAATGTACTTGCATTGTTTGCTTACTTGTTTTGGCTTTTTTTTTCATTTTTCATTTTTTTTTTTTTTTTGTCCTTAGGGCTTCCAAGATTCATTACCCAGCCAGAGTCTGCCTCTGTCCATAGAGGAAACCCCATAGTTCTTAACTGTGAAGTTAATGCTGATCTAGCACCATTTGTCAGGTGGGAGTTGGACCATCAGCCCCTCTTTCTGGATGATCGTGTACTCAGATTGCCAAGTGGAACTTTAATTGTCAGCAATGCTACAGATGAGGACGCCGGAACATACTGTTGTGTTATTGAAATTGGTGGATCTCCCAAATACAGTGACGAAGCAGAGATTAAAGTTCTTCCAGGTACAGGCACGTGTGCTGAGGTTTTTTCCTCTCCTAGTTCTTCCTCGTGCATCACGAGTAATGGGTGTCAGAAATTCTAAAAACTTGGCATTCAAACTTGCTCATTTGAAATAGATGCTTCTCTGGGACCTCTAAAAGTCCTTATAAAAGTTTATTCTAAAGCAAGGGTGTCCAATCTTGGCAACCTTAAGACCTGTGGGCTTCATGCTAGCTGGGGAATAAAACTGCCAAGGTTGGACACCTCTGTTCTAAAGGTTTCAATTTTCTTGCCAGGAGGTTTCGTGAATATTAACAAAACTTATGATACACCTGTTTGTGCAAGACAGATGTAGTTTTAGACACTATGGCAAGATAAGGCCAGTATTTATGCCAGTTTCAAGTTCATTTGTCTAATTCTAATTTGCTGTGAAATGTTTAATTGGAAGCAAATAAATTGAGCCGAGGTGGCGCAGCAGTTAGAGTGCAGTCCTGCAGGCCACTTTAGCTGACTGTGTTCAGCAGGTCAGCGGTTCAAATCTCACCGGCTCAAGGTTGACTCAGCCTTCCATCCTTCCGGGGTAGGTCAAATGAGGACCCAGATGGTTGGGGGCAATGTAAATATATACATACATTGCTTACTGGTGTACACCGCTTAGAGAGTGCTTGCACTTCAAGCGGTATCTAAGTCTCATAAATAAATAAATAAATGAGCAAGTGAAAAACTAGTTAGAACATTACATTGCCATCACTTTTCATTTAATGTAACCTGCTATTTTCCTGGTGATATTATTTGCAGAATCTGACATTTCTTCAGACCTGCTCTTCCTGAAACAGCCCCTTTCCCTCACCAAGGTGACTGGGCAGAGCGCAGTTTTACCGTGTGTTGCTGCAGGCATTCCTGTTCCTCTGATCCGATGGACAAGAAACGCAGAAGAGCTTGTTACCGAAAAGTGAGTTTTTAATTCTGATGTTCCCCGTGGAAGTCAGAGAAATCGTTGCTGTTGGGAGAACTGGAGAGCAGACAGAGCCAGCAACTACTATCCCGTATCATGGAGACTGCTAAAAAGAGGGACCTGACAACCCCAAAAATGTTGATGAAGGAGGATCAAATTTGGGTCTTAAGAGTTAAGAAAGCATTGAAGTGGCCGCAGTAGGGCTGCCCGCCTTATTTCAAAAATGCCTGATCCTAGATTAGGAAAGGGCACAGCTCTGTTAGGGAGCAACTGTCAGGTTCTGGATGAATGGCCATGCTGATCAGGCAACATAATTTCATTGTTACTGTGTGTCTGGGTACTCACAGTAAAAAAAATGACAGTAAAGGTTATTTTATCTTGATATGTATTTCATATTCCGTCATGATCCATGCAACCAAATGCCTTGTTGTGCTATAAGTCTATCTAGCTTTCCAATCTCTAAGCCATACAGTATTTGATGACACAACTATATATACTTTGGAAATATCCCCCCCCCCTTTTTTTTCCCCTTGGTATTCAGGCTGTTATATGTTATCATAGCTCAGTGCTTTTTAGTTTTGTTCATTGGAGCTTTTCTTTTAATTATTGTTTTTGTGCCAGTTATTAACTCTTTAAACATTCCTAAGCCTTGGATAGTTGCTATGGCAATGTTGACTTATATCACCTGTAATAATTAGTGCAGATTTTCAGCCAGAATATTTTCAGTTGAAAATGGTTTGAGAGAAAGGACATTAAAAATAGATATCCGGGCTTCCGAAGAATGTTGTAAATGTTTGTATTGTTTAAAAAATCCAAATCCTTCACACTTCAAAAAACAAAAAAAATCACTCCAGCAATGTGTCTTGTTTTATACAGTTCTCACAAATTTCTGTTCCTGTCTGGGGGAACTCTGAAGATAAATGTTATCAGCGAAGATGATTCAGGAACATATACTTGCATCGCGGATAATGGGAATGAAACTATTGAAGCTCCAGCTGATCTCACTGTGCAGGGTAATATATGTGGATATATATACTTTTTTTTTAAAAAAAAATCCGTGCTAATATAGCTGAGGCAGTTGAACTCTAAAAAAAAAAAACATTGTTTTGTTTAGGAGCAAAATAAATGTAGTTATGATTACTGATCCCAGGTATCTGGAGAGCAGTATGATTGAAGCAAGAGTATTATCATAGCTTAGCAATGGAATAATAAATATTTTGCAAATTAAATTTATAACATTTCTATACACAGTTGGGAAAGAGCTCAGCCTAAACCCCTGGAAAGATTCCATCTTGAAAACAGTGCTAGGTAGACAGATAAACAGATGGTCTGCAGTGGATAAAGATGCTCCATTTATTACTTTGCAAATACGCAGCTGACATTGCTATCTTGTGGCTGAAGATAGCAAGAACTTTTTAATCCCAAGAGTGTGCTATATTCTTCAGTAGAGACACACACTTTTTTATATAGTAAGGTAGATCATCTGGATAAATGTACACAAAGACTGTGTAATACATACATTGGTGGATAATATTATCCATCTGCATATGTACTAAACATCAGTCCTGTCTTCTGATGTCTGCAAGGACTTTCTGTGGAAACACTTTTAGAAATAGTTTGCCATTGCTTCCTTCTTAGGGATAAGAGGGAATTGCTTGCCAAAGTCACCCAGCTGGCATTGCACCTAAACCAGGACTACAACTCCCAGTCTCCTAGTGTCTAGCCTGCTCCTGACACCAAACTCGCTCTCAAACAACTTTCGACCTCAGTAAATTTCCAACTTTCAATTGTAGGGTTCTGTACTAAAAGGTACATTAAGGAAGAGGAAATTGATCTGATCTCACTTACCAGATTTCCACCCCCCCACCCCCGTATAAATGATCAGAAGGCAGTTTTCTCTTTTATCACTGTAATTCAGGAAGTAACATGGAGACAGACAGAGGAAGACAAGGTTATAAGTTCACTTTTCAGCTGGGAATGTCAGCCACTGTATTTAGCTCTGCAGGAGATTCCTGAAAATGGTATGACGCAAATTCCATTGGTTTTTGAGTTTCCTGGCCTGTCAATATCAAACGTTATTATTAAAAAATTCTATCAAGTGGAGTTTCTTTTTCTCCTTGTTAAGTGAAGATTTAAAATGAACATTTGAAAAACGTAAATGAACTGATAGGTCCTTCAGATTATTCCTGCAGCCAGGATATATAAGCTGATTTAAAGAATATCTCAGTGCTAAAAAATAGGATTGATTCCATGTAATGTGTGTGAACTTAGAACATTCCTATTGCTCTCATTCATTGAATGAAATAAAGCAAAAGCCTTTATAATCATCTTTAAGTGGTTTCTCTGCCTTTTTGTTTGACACCTGGGAAATCTTAAGAGTGTCTAGTACACGGGTGTCAAACTTGCCACGTCATATGACATGTTGCGGACGTATCGCGACTTTTTTCACATTGCTGGAGCTGGGGTGGGCAATGCAACTGGCTCTGGTTAGAATTATTTTCAAAAGCATCCTTGCTATGTTACAAATTGTTCTAGGCTTTAAATGAGAGTTACAAGATGGAAATATTGACAGATACATACCCAAAGTAATATTGTTCATCAACAGTCTTCTTCATTGTTTTAATTCTTTACAGACATCATTTAGAAATAATGAGAATTGCTTTGTTTTTAATTTTATGAAGAGGTATTATGAAACTTAAAACCAAGATAGTGATTCATTTTTTGTGAAAAATGGTTTCTTCAATAAGAGCTTCCCATCAAATCCTGTGAGACCAAAATATATCCCTGAGTAGTTGATATGGATATACATAAAGTATCTATGGTAGTGTTGTTGATACTCAAGAGAATTGTATTTGATAGCTTTTAGATTTCAACTAGGATGTCTTAAAAACTGATTTATAATATATTAACAAAGCTTTATGCCAGCTGTTGCTTTATGATCGCTTGCCACTTTTAAAAGATTATATCCTGGCAATAGTGTATTTGCTTTTCCAGTTTTAAATTCTACAACAATGGGAAATTTTGTGTTTCTCTTCTGGCACTTATCTGAAATCATTGATCTTAAAATTAAAAGTGGGATGTTTTGTAAAATATCTTCTTTTGGCTCTGGACTGGCAAATTATTAACAAGTTATGAAAGGTAATGGGACCTGTAGAAACTAAAGACAGATGTATTGATGCACATTAAAGTGTACAGTTCCAACAGTACAATTCTAAGCATTCATGGTTAGAATATATTTCAGATCCATTTATTTGAATCAGGTCTGGTGTTGCTGACTAAAACATCATAGCAGTAGATGCGGCTCACTTATTTCTTACAAAACAAAATTATTCCCTTTGGCACTCAGAAAAGATCATTTGTGGGTGATGTTTGAGCATATGCTTGAACTTAGACACTCAGAATTGTATTTCACTCATTAAAGCAGGACATTTGATCTTGACCTGTGGATAGATATAAAAAATATTGCCGAAAGCTTTAATTGAGGTTTCATAAGATAGTTGCCAATGACAGGAAATATAAAAGTAAGCTTTAAAGTTCGCCTTTGCTTCTCATAAATTGGATTTTGTTTGTTTAAAATATAATTTGATATTTTTTTTAAAAAAAATAAAATAAAATCTCCCACAAGTTATCCTTAGTAAAATTGTATTGTTTAATTATTTGTGGTTTTTTTACCAATAACCATTCATTTTTGGAAAGTCTCTTAGAATAAAATTAGATATCTTTGAAATATAAATGAAAGATATCATCTTGTCCAATTAAGCAATTTTTTTGTTTGATCAATAATTAGTAATTGACCTTTCTCTCACTTTGAAGTGCCTCCCACGTTTCTGAAGCAGCCCACTAATATTTATGCACATGAATCCATGGATATTGTGTTTGAATGTGATGTGAGTGGAAAGCCAACTCCCGTGGTCAAATGGGTAAAGAATGGAGATGTGGTTATCCCTAGTGACTACTTTAAAATTGTAGTAAGTACATATTTAATAAGACATTTGGTCTGGTTTAATTATCACAAGCTCAAGCTTAAAAGAATGCCAAATGGTTTAGATACTAATATATTTCCCTAGAAAGTGTAAATATAAAAATCTTTCCCTTCAAATAGCCCAGTCACAACAGTTTGCCCCTAGATAATTGGAAGAGCTTTTTGCGTCACATGACTGTTTCTTCCTCATCTTTAGGCTGAAAATATTTCCAGGTATACAGTTGATACGAACTGCATCCTAGAGCTAAGACACTAAAAAATGTACCAGTTCAGTTTTAGATTATTTTGCAAAGAGTACTGTCATTAGATTCATGTTTGATTTGAAGGCACGGGGAGTACAATTCTAAGGAGAAAATTTATTCCCCATTGGTCCCCTCACTATAGTCAAGCTTAAAATCCTCAATGGTAGTAAAATGGCAGAAAAGAAAAGCTAACAACTAGAAGTTTATAACAGCAAAACTAGAGAAAAGAGAAGATCAATCTGTCTTTACATAAAGTATAGCAACTGCTTTGTGTTGGAAGATATGGACCAACCTGCTATCTGTGGATAGCATAGGAAAGAATGCAATCAAGTTGTTAGTGTTGAAACAAAAAATGGTGTTACAGTTCAGTTGCTTTATGGACATTGAACAGAAAGACAGCACTGCCTTGCCCTTTGCCTGCAAAATGTCTGTTCCCGGCCTTGCTGATAGGGCAGAACAGCTAGAGGTTGAGCCACCACAGGGAGATCACCATAAGGCAGCAGGAATTCTTGCAGATTGGGCAATACACAAATGACACAAGTAAATAAATAACGAAGCACTTGTTAAATTACTTCTGTCAGCATTGAATGGTATAAATAGCGGGAGTGAGAAACAAAATAAGGACAAGTCAGAATGATAAGGCTGGAAAGATAATTGTGAATATACATAACACACAATATCTCTCTCTCTCTCTCTCTCTCTCTCTCTCTCTCTCTCTCTCTCTCTCATTTTTATAGCTTATAGAGTACATTATAATGAATGTTGTACATCTTTGTTTTGTTTTGTTTTCTTAAAGAATGAGCACAACCTACAGGTTTTGGGTTTGGTGAAATCAGATGAAGGTTTTTATCAGTGTATTGCAGAAAATGATGTGGGAAATATACAGTCTGGAGCCCAGCTGATAATACTGGATCATGGTAAGAAAGTAGAGTCATACATTGTTAAAATATAGGGCAAAATATTGAGCTATATTTTCCTCCCCATGGGGCACTGTTCACCCATGGATAGATTGCTCCTGTCTATAATTTTTGTTTTTCTCAGGTACTGCCTGAACAATTCACTGCACTTTTCTTGGTAAGATTTTTCAGAAGTGGTTTGCCATTGCCTCTTTCCTAGGGCTGAGAGAAAGTGACTGGCCCAAGATTACCCAGTTGCCTTTGACTAGAACTCATGGTCTCCGTCTACAATTAACACATGCCCTTTTAGTATTCTATACTTATAAAGACTTTTAAAATCAATACTTTGTCCTGTCAATATGAAATTGAAACCAGTATCAGAAAAAAATGAAATCTACTTCATACTATCGGTTTAAGGAGATCCGTTGGTAATGTGTTTTTATTATTGGAGGTAATATTCCATTCTTGCAACTATTTACAACATAACCCTGAGGCTAAGTTTGTTGAAAAAGCTATAGGGGTTTGATACAAACTATGATATGAACCATATTATGATTTAGCATGATATGTGAAACCTGAGTGTTCAGAATTGATTTTGATGCTATGATTTTGAAGATTTCACAGCTCTCAAAAAGATAAATGTGTCTGTGAGACTGCTAGTTTATAAAGACACTATTGTTTGCTGTTCGTCTTTCCAAGTTCTAATAGAGCATGTTGTTGTTGTTGTTAATTGTGAAGTCGTGTCCGACCCATCGCGACCCCATGGACAACGTTCCTCCAGGTCTTCCTGTCCTCTACCATCTTCTGGAGTCCATTTAAATTCACACCTACTGCTTCAGTGATTCCATCCAGCCACCTCATTCTCTGTCGTCCCCTTCTATTGCCCTCAATCTTTCCCAGCATTAGGCCCTTTTCCAGTGAGTCTTTCCTTCTCATTAGGTGGCCAAAGTACTTGAGTTTCAACTTCAGGACCTGGCCTTCTAAAGAGCAGTCAGGGTTGATCTCTTCTAGGACTGACCGGTTTGAACGCCTTGCAGTCTTCTCCAGCACCATAGTTCAAAGGCCTCAATTCTTTGGCGCTCAGCCTTTCTTATGGTCCAACTTTCACAGCCATACATTGCAACTGGGAAAACCATGGCCTGGACTATACGCACTTTTGTTGGCAGGGTGATGTCTCTGCTTTTTAGTATGCTGTCTAGATTTGCCATAGCTTTCCTCCCCAGGAGCAAGCGTCTTTTAATTTCTTGGCTAATAGAGCATGTTAGAGCATATTAAATCCCTCATTGGATTTTAACCTCTAAGTGAAAGGCCTGAGCATATTGTATTACTGGACAGGTGCAAAATATTTTCCTTGTGTTCCTATTACACCAACAATTGACTTTGCTATCTTATCTAAAATACAGCACCGCTTTTGGTTGGGCTGGCAGGAAATGTTGTTTTCCTTTTTAAATGTTCTTTGTTGATATATTGATGGTGACACACCTTTGTATTATTTGGGCATGATAGTAAAGAATGAAATGACTTCCTTTAAAACAAAATATTTCCCAAATAGGGGAGGGTTGTTTTCATTGTACTTTTATGATTTCCTTTAAATGTTTGCACTGGAAAAAAGAGATCAAATAAAACATCCTAGTCAAAATACTATAGTAATGCTAATGCATTTGTCAGGGAGCTCAACAGATATACTTTTAGTAACTTCAAACATCAGAAAACAAATCAACTGTCCAAAGTTTTAAATAATTAAAATATCCTCATATTGTCCATCGCCATTCAAGAATTACAATTATAACAGGTAGTGTTGGAATGTCTGTGTTGCAGTTGATCAAAACAAATTTACAGTCTGAAACCATAACATCCAATCTTTTGAATTGGCAATTTCCATACACTTCCCATTGCTTTACAGCCAAGTTGTGTATACATCACAGAAATGCCTCATTGATATAGTATTTCAACTTCTCTACAGTATTATTCAGTATGAGTGTTACTATTCATCTCTTTAATTTTTTCCATCTTTTGTTTTTTTTCACTTTCAATTGTCTCTCCCTCTCTCCCCCCTTCCCTTGTTTTAGAATTCATCTTTTATTCACCATTATGCCAAACCATTTTATATACTCTCCACATCTGTCAAGGCACTTGGGTTGCCTCTGAAATTTATTCCAATGCATAAATAATACTGTATCAAATAATGATTGCCTCCAGTTAATATTGAAAAATGACACTGCTTAAAGAAGATAAAAGAAGAGATAACTTAAAGACTTTTTTGTTAACATGTAAAGGATTCTATTCTAATTATTGTTCTTCAATATGATTGCACAAGGCAGAATATCATTGGCCAGTGTTGGGGAAGAAAACAATCGTTCTGTTTTAGAATGGATGATCATATTATGGAATTTAGTTATAATGACTTTGTTAATGAGCTTTTACTAGATTTAATGAAGAGGGATATAATATGCTATTTTAAAGTTTTTTTAATTGAATATTCTTCTTTGTTCAGAGCAATTAATTAAAATATAATTGTTGCATTAAAAAGAAATGCCATTTTAAATTAGCATGACCACTTTAATATGACAGTTCAGAGTGAGGCATTTGAGATCAGTAAAAAATAAATGTCCCAAATGGAAAATTATGTAATTTACCAATATTTTAAGACGTTTTACTGTGCCACGTTGTATGTTCTGCATTTCTGTCCTAGTTCTGCTAAGGACAGATGTCATAATCCTCCATGCCTTTGATTGCAGATTTGAACAGATTTGTTTTCTAAAAATTAACTATTACCCCATAACCAGACTTAATTTTCAGAAACTAATGTTTTAATGGTAAAATGATACTTGATCTGTAATTTTCATCCTACCCTTCCTTCTCACTTTCATTACAATGGAGATTTTTGATTGCTTCTCCAATAGTGATGTCTCCTTGATATTTCCCATTAGTTTTCAGTAGTTACCTTTTTGCCTGCATGCCAGCTTTCAGTTTAATGGCCTTTTTTGTGTGTTCATTTTATTTTATTTTCCATCGTGGTTTTGTTTATTTCTTTTTTTGGTTTTTTTTTCTGTTTTCTCCTTAAATCGTCGTGATGTTTGCCCTTCATATTCCCCAATGTTTGCACATGACAAGATGTTGCCATCCCAACATTACCTCCCACTTCACTGACCAGTGCCACTACTGACCATCTAGCACCAGCTACAACTGGACCTTTGCCTTCTGCCCCTCGAGACGTTGTGGCGTCCCTTGTGTCTACTCGTTTCATCAAGCTAACATGGAGGACTCCTGCATCTGACCCACAGGGAGACAATCTTACCTACTCAGTGTTCTACACCAAGGAAATGAGTAACAGGTGTGCTTATTTAAATATTGCTGAACTGTGAGCCTTTAGGAGTATTGGCCGATAACTAAAAAACAGTAATTGGGCTGATAGGCGAAGTATAACAGCCTCCAATTTTAGTACGTACTACAGACTGAAGTTTAAATATGAAAATAATCAGAATTAGATATTTAGTTCAGCTGATTTCACAAAATTGTGCAGGCTTTTTTGTGATGCTAAGATATCAAGTTATGCCAAAGGCATAGATCATTGATGGAAGATACCTTCAGATTCCACTGGTGCAAAGATTGTATAAATACTTGCAGTCATGAGTCTCTATATGCTGTACAATATATGCTGTTCTGCAATAATTATTTGCTTCATTTTTTTCTATTCATCTTTTTGTGGCAGATCTTTTGACAGTCTGGGCTCCCAGGTTGTAAATCCTGATAAAAACATTGTAGTGCTTTTTTTAAGTAGGTCATGTTGTACAAATTTCTCACTGAAAAGTCATATTTTGTTCAAGTTCTATTAAAAGTTATTTGAAGACCAATTATTTGAAGACCAAGGGGGTTACAAATGAGTTTATTTTATTTCATCTGGGCCACATTAATTCAATGAAGTTTATCATAGTTACTTTGCATCTTTTATAATGCAAATCTATGGCTGCCCAATTGATTGTCCTAGACCTAGATTAAATCAAAACAGCAATATCTTAAATGGTTAAATCATGGCAACTGTCGCCATGATTTAACTTTTTAAGATACTTGGATCTGGATGATTTACAAAACAGCAGTATCAATATTCATCCATAACTGACAATTTCATTCTGACACAAAACAACAATAATCTGTCCTAATATGTCATAACATGCCCATTTCCACTTCCAAATCTTTTTTTTTTTTTTTTAATAAAGGGAGCGTGTTGAAAACACCAGTCATCCCGGAGAAATGCAAGTGACAGTCCAAAACCTGATGCCTGAAACAGTATATATTTTCAGAGTGGTTGCACAAAACAAACATGGACCTGGGGAGAGCTCAGTACCGTTGAAAGTAGCCACCCAACCTGAGGGTAAGCATTAAATATGGGCGGGTCTATATATTTCATAGAATGCTGTTTACATTGCTCTCCTCCCCCCTGTCTCTCTCCTGATACAGCTGACAAAGCGAGAGAGAGCCTGTGGTTTGAGGTTATAACAACTGCCTAACATGCAGATAGCCCAGGTTCGAATCTCAGAAGAGTAAGTCTGGCTGAAGAGAGTTAAAGGAACTCGAAATAGCTATCCCAGTTCTCTCCTTATTCTTTGTTAGCAACTTAAAAATGTAAAATGATGTCGCAGTTGGCGACTGCTGCTTGTGGATGGCTCTGGATTGAGCTGATACAGGCAAAAGAAAAGAAAAAGAAAGATTTCTTTTCTCCCATATTTGGGCTGACAGGGTGCACATTCAAGGTAAAATCTCCTCCCCCTGTCTCTCTCCTGATACAGCTGACAAAGTGAGAGAGAGCCTGTGGCTTAGAGGTTATAACAACTGCCTAACATGCAGATAGCCCAGGTTCGAATCTCAGAAGAGTAAGTCTGGCTGAAGAGAGTTAAAGGAACTCGAAATAGCTATCCCAGTTCTCTCTTTATTCTTTGTTAGCAACCTAAAAATTGCTCTTTTTATAGTTTTGTTGTTAATATTTTATTATTATTATTATTTTGTAATATGCCCTGCTTATTATTTAGTTCAGCTTCCAGGTCCAGCCCCCAACATTCGTGCGTACGCTACCTCTCCCACATCAATCACTGTTACTTGGGGTACACCCTTATCTGGCAATGGTGAGATTCAGAACTACAAACTGTATTACATGGAGAAAGGGACAGAGAATGAACAGGTGAGATACATTAGTGTGTATGTTAAGAAAGTAATTTTTACATTTGCGTATCATGATTATGAGATATAATTCTTGGATCTATTTATCATTTGCTGCTGCTGCTGCTAATAGCTAAGACCTAAAAAAAACCCTCTACTCCAGTTAGATCAGAATGTCTCCTCAAAGAAAGCATGGGCTGATAGGGATGCCCCTGTTCTCTGAGCGGTTGCTTGCAATATACGAAGAGGTGACTTTTTCCTGATGATAATTGTCTGGTGGAGTGACCTTCTGATGAATTTTCATATATATTAAAATCCAGGTTTTGCTTTGGCTTTGAACAATGGCTTACCCTCACCCACTACAACAGGGGTGTCAAACTGCTGGCCTTCGGGCTGGACGCGTCATGTAGAAGTCATGCCCATCCCATTGCCGGCATTGGCAAAACAGCCCGATACATTGCGTGATGTCACATGACGTCACAAGTTTGACATGCCTGCACTACAAGTTTTAAACCAATGTCTATTTTGATAAACCAACAGTTTTGGTCTTTCTGATATATTGTTGTATCCAGTTCATTGGATTTATCCAATGTTGAGTGACAGTCTTGTCAGCAATGACAATTCTCTTTAGGATTAGCTACCTTTGTTCGTTTTGGATCCTTGACCACGTAAACATCTTCACCATCATTGTTAATCAAATAGCTAGATAGTAAGACTAGCATTTCTTGAGATAGGCTAGTATTTATTATCTATGGCAGGTATTTCAATTAATACTGAAATCCAGATCTTGGGAGTTTTATCAAAATATTTTTGTCAATACTTCCTTTTATTTTGAACTTATTGGTGCAAAACTATAGAAGCATTCATTTATTCAAAAACCATGCCTTTGTTATTCTGACTGGTTAGGAAGCTTTGCTTTGAATCTAAATAGATTATTTTGTCCTCGATTATATTGTATTTATGATATGAACACAGGATAGCTAGGAGAGAGAGAGAGAAAAATCTCCAGAACCAGAAATGAGCAAATATTCAAGTATAGCCATAATGTAGCCTCATGTGGATTGAGCATATTAAATATATTATCGAGCCCAAATTATGATTTATACATCATAATTTTTCATCTTTTTAAATAGGACATTGATGTTGGAGGTCTTTCCTATACAATAATTGGTTTGAAAAAATACACAGAATATAGTTTCAGAGTTGTGGCCTACAATAAGCATGGTCCAGGAGTCTCTACTCAAGATGTTGTCATTCGAACCCTGTCAGATGGTAAGTGTTTTCCAATTACAGAAAGAATTCACATGTATTTATTTGCATTTTATATATGACCAATTTGCTTCCATCAACACAAAGTATTATTATGTTGGCAGTAGATTTGTAGATACTGCTCTGAAAATTTACACACACACATACACGTACACACCCACAAATTCAGTGAAGTTGGGAGATCATGGTAAAATCTACTTGATTTTAAACTGGAACAGCTATAATTCATTTTTAATTTACACTGGCTCCCTGAGAGATGTTCAGTTCTGAAGCAGATTTGAATAACTTCTTTTAATATTTCTAGTTCCCAGTGCTGCGCCCCAGAATCTAACACTAGAAGTGCAAAACTCCAAGGTAAGACACTTTTCTCTTTAGACGTAGATGAAGCACTTGATTTTCTTCCTTAGATCTTGAATGTATGATGAATCAGCTGTGATTTATAAACTTCCCTATTTTTGGACTGGGTAAAATCTCAATTTGCATGCTTAAAAGTTGCAGTAATCATTGACTGTACTAGCTCAGTGTGCAAATAGTGAAGATTTTCATTGCTTCAGGACCAATGGTGAAGAGTCATGTTGATGTTTCGAAGTATGTTGTGGAAATTATTGATACATACATAACAATATTATTTGCAAGTTACACAATTGAGTTGTTTCCAGATACATAATTTTAAAGTCAGAGATATTAAGTTTATATATAATATTTCTAAGTATGTGTAAACTATTTCTCGGACCAGTATAGTGGAGATTAATGAAGCATGACAGTTAGCCTAATTTAATTGAGAGAATATGATTGATATTGATATTGATATTGAGCTGAGGTGGCGCAGCAGTTAGGGTGCAGTACTGCAGGCCACTTTAGCTGACTGTGTTCAGCAGGTCAGCGGTTCAAATCTCACCGGCTCAAGGTTGACTCAGCCTTCCATCCTTCCGGGGTAGGTAAAATGAGGACCCAGATTGTTGGGGGGCAATGTAAATATATATATATATATACATTGCTTACTGGTGTACACCGCTTAGAGAGTGCTTGCACTTAAAGCGGTATATAAGTCTCATAAATAAATAAATAAATGATTTATAATGCCGTTTAACTTCCCACAGAGCATTATGATGCATTGGCAGCCGCCTCCCACAGGAACACACAATGGGCAAATTACTGGCTATAAGATTCGCTACCGAAAAGTGATACGCAAAAGTGATGTCACCGAAATTATTGTGGGGACACAACTTTCACAGCTCATTGAAGGTGAATAAGTTGGAATTCCCAATCTAATAATAACCTAAACTAACTGCAAGCTTCTTATTTTAAGAAAACAAGAGGGTCTATTATAAGAATAACCTTCTCTGTCCTTGTAATATTTCTTTTGCTCTTAGCTTGTTCTAGTTTGTGGGTTCATCGCAGATGCTCCTTTTTCAGTCAAGCCATCCTAAAGATTGGCGGGCGTTTCTTATCTTTCAGGAAGTCTCTCTTTTGTTCTGCCTTCTCTGTCCTTGAAATAAGGCTTAACCCATCTAGAAATGTCCCCCTAAATCAGATGTATCAGATGAGAATATTTTAATTCACTTTTGTTTTGTTAACGTGTTTGTCTAGGTGTTTTGTTTTTATAGAAAATGTTAAGACCACCTGCTGTGGAAATAAAATGAGTAAATCGTTTGGAACTCTTAGCCCTTCTATTTGCTGAAGGAAAATTACATAGTCTTTTGCCATCAACATACAGGAAAGGTCATTGCAGTGTGTCAGTCCTCTGAGGCTTGACAGATAGTAATTTCTGTCAACTGAATCTTTTGGAGCCTTACGGCAAACATTGTTGATTTGTCCTGCTTAGCTGTGGGTTGTGCTCCAGTAATCATCAGGAAGATGAAAGGCCAAAACATAAAGTATTTGTTTAACTAGATCTGTGTCAGCCGTGACTCAAATGATAACTTCGAAATAATAATCATTTGAAGATACTCATTGGGGCACTTTGAAGTAACAGGATAATGGAACTATTGCTATTCTAATTAGAAGCAGACAGCTTGCTTGCAATTAATATTGAAGACTATATTTCGGTATGATGTGTTTTGTACCAGGTTTGGAACGAGGTACCGAGTACAGCTTCCGAGTGGCTGCCTTAACAGTTAATGGCACAGGAATAGCTACGGATTGGATATCAGCAGAAACATTTGAAAGCGACCTCGATGGTATGGTTAACCAAGATTTAACCAGAGTACATGTGTTACGAACGCGAAAGCTTCGTGAGAAAAGACAGAAATCTTTTACATTCCATCAGAGGATGAAGGGTGGGAGGCACATCCAGACTTGCAAGATTCTGTCACTCTAGCTGTTACAGTAAAAGTAGTCCTGACATCGGTAGTACTTTATAGGGCTGAGAAGCTATTTTATTTTATTTATGTTACATTTATTTATTCATTAAATGTTTGTGCCACCCATCTCCCCTATAAGGTGACTCTGGGCGGATATAATGGTTTAAATAACTTGGTGACGTCACTTAAAAGTAAATAAGTCCTTTAGGTTTATTATTTCTTAGCTTAACGTATTTAAATAAGTTCTCTTCTTTGTAGAAACTCGTGTTCCAGAAGTGCCAAGTTCCTTGCACGTACGTCCACTTGTAACCAGTATTGTTGTCAGCTGGACCCCACCAGAAAACCAAAACATTGTGGTCAGAGGCTATGCTATAGGGTATGGCGTAGGCAGTCCCCACGCTCAGACCATCAAGGTGGATTATAAGCAACGATACTACACTATTGAAAATTTGGGTAATTACAAAAGATTTTAATCTGATACTTCGCTAAGTAACAATATAAAATCAATGCTGATCCAAATGCTTGCTTTTTATGTCCTCCTTTGGTGATAAAAGTATCTGTTTCTATATTCACTCTAGTTTTCATGTTCGGAAATAATAGCAAAATGAATGCATGTTAAGTTTCTTTAATTCTTGTTGTGGTGCCTGAGTTAATACAACAAAGCTAAATTATTTTGAATTATCTCTGAAAACAGATGTTTCTAGTGTGCATCATGCGGTTTCATGCTGTTTGCTGTATGTGAAAATATCAAGCACATTTATTATAATAGAAAAAAGTAATAATTTGCTATAAAAATTAAATTAATAATTTTTTCCCCAGATCCCAGTTCCCATTATGTGATAACTTTGAAAGCATATAACAACGTTGGTGAAGGAATTCCTCTTTATGAAAGTGCAGTGACTAGAGCCTATACAGGTAAAGATAGGATATCCTAGATGGTTTAGCCAGAAAATATATTGGAGTATAAACCGTTTCTAATTTGCTGATGGCTTGTTTCCTTGTTCTGTGTTCAGAGATGATTTGCTGAACTGTCTTCTGAGCAATGACTTTGAAATCTGGATCAGTGATTTCCTGATTTCCTTTATAACCCCTACTATCAGTTTGAGACATTGGCCATAGCATGAATTATACATTCTTAAATTTGTTTGCTGAGCTTCCCAATCTACAGTATTATAATTGTAAGCATGTTGGTATAGACCTATGTCAATCAAAAACATGTTATATTTTTCAGTACTGTGTGTCGTTATCATTTTTTAAACTAAATGACTAGTTGGATAAAAACCAAACTTTTAAACATTGTAGAGAGGTCAGTCAATCAATCCACCAGTCAATCAGCATAGAGCTGGACCTTGGAGGTCTTCTAGTCCAACCCCCTGCTCAAGCAGGAGACCCTATACCATTTCAGACAAATGGCTGTCCAATCTCTTCTTTCAAGCCTCCAGTGATGGAGCATCCACAACTTCTGGAGGCCAGCTGTTCCACTGGTTAATTGTCCTCACTGTTAGGAAGTTTCTCCTTAGTTCCAGGTTGCTTCTCTCCTTGATTAGTTTCCATCCGTTGTTTCTTGTCCTGCCCTCTGGTGCTTTGGAAAATAAGTTGAGCCCCTCTTCTTTGTGGCAATCTCCTTAAATATTGGAATACTGTCACCCTAGTCCTTCTTTTCTCTAGAGTAACCAAACCCAGATCCTGCAACCGTTCTCCATATGTTTTAGCCTCCAAGCCTTTAATCATCCTAGCTGGTTTGTCAAATTGTTATTATTTGCCAAAGGGCACTATCTGGTAGGTAATTTGAAAGAAAACACTGATTTGGTATTTTGTTGCTGAGCTGCTAGATCCTAGTTGTTCTTATAAAGATATTTTCTGAATGTCTTTCAGCTTGCAGAAATGCAGACTTTCCTTTTAATACTAGGCATTAATCCTGTTTACTCCTCTATCACTGTCTCTATTGGATGCTAATTCTACCTTGATTTTCCAGAGTTGGAACAAATTAATATTTTAATGCAACTATAATACTGTATATCCTAATTAGTGAACTTTCAAATGAATACCCAGATTTGAAAGTCATTGTCCTTGTTATCTTCGATAACCTACTCAAATGCTAAGTCCTGTAGAATCTGCGGATGCCGTGTATTTTTAAAAGGAAGCAAAATAATCACTGAGAACTTGTTTTTTTTTTTTTTTTTTGCTGGTGCCCTGTTGCCTATTAACTCTGGCTTTTCTCTCTTTTTCTCCACTCCTCACCTCTCATTCCATTGTATTACCCTGCATTCCACCCTTTTGTTTCTATTCACGTATAAAACGCCACCTTTCTTTTGTATTGCAATACCCTACATTTTACCCATCAATTCTTTAGACACTTCTGAAGTTGATTTATTTGTTGTTAATGCTCCATACACTCCAGTGCCAGACCCCTCCCCCATGATGCCACCCGTGGGAGTTCAGGCTTCCATCTTGAGCCACGACACCGTTCGTATTACCTGGGCAGACAATTCTCTGCCAAAGAACCAGAAGGTTTCAGATGCCCGTTACTATACAGTCCGCTGGAAAACCAACATCCCTGCAAACACAAAGTACAAGGTAAGGGAAATGGTGAGATCTCTAGGAATTTTGCCCAAATCTTCTGCAACCAAAAAAGAAATTGAATGTGTGTTTCCATGAGTGAGGAAGAGAAAGGGGAACAATAGGAATGAAATATTTTACACTTTTATTTTCTGATTTTCATAGACAGCAAATACGACAACCTTAAGCTTCTTGGTCACCGGCTTAAAACCAAACACTTTATACGAGTTCTCTGTCATGGTGACAAAAGGCCGAAGAGCAAGCACATGGAGCATGACAGCCCATGGCACTACTTTTGAGCAAGGTATTCGTCATATGCCATGCCTTTATTAACAGGATTATGTTGTTACTTCCTTTGCTTTAGCTTTTTTTTTTTTTTTGTAGAAAACACTCCGGATTATAAAGTTCTGTGTTTAATTGACATTTTCTTGCAGTTCCAACTTCTCCACCCAAAGATGTAACGGTGGTAAGCAAAGAAGGAAAGCCCAGGACTATAATTGTCAACTGGCAGCCTCCATCTGAAGCCAATGGCAAAATTACAGGTGAAATGTCTTTTGGATAAAATACAGTGAGGATGATGTTACAGATAAACGAGAAGAAAGATACTAGTTATGTTGGATCCGTTCTTAAGTTTTTTTTTATTGATTGTGCTTATATATTTTTGGGTAGCCAAAGGGATGATTCATCGGATGCACAACAAATGCAACAGTGTGCATGCAGTTGTCCCTTGCCTGTGCAAATGTTTGAGTTGTGCAATGCTTCAGATATGATTTCAGAAAGATACTTCTGAGTATGGAGGACTAGAGATGTATTGCTTGTCTCCAACTTCTTAAGTAGCTTCCCACCACCCCAGGCAGAGTTGCACAACAGCTGTGGAGAGCAGCTGCCCAATGGTAGGAAAAGAAATAGCTCCTTGACAGAGTTGCAAAAGAGATGCTATATTTGTGCTCTTGGGCGCTCTGAACCACTTTGGGGAATTGAATGGGAAGTGCTGTACAACCTTACTACATATGTTTACAAACTCTGGGCACATACAAAATTTGCCAGTTGACGCAACATCTGGAAGAAGGTGTACATGTGGTTGAGGACTGGGCTAAAAGAAAATGAAAGGATGGGGAGGGATGGTCTCGTCCTCATTAGACACACACACTTTTTCTAATGGGAATAGTTCAAAACCCGTGTTTTTAGGAGAAGAGATTGCAAGACGACAACTTGAAAACGTGATTTTTTTTTCAGAGCTTGGAGACATGCCTTCATAATTCACCGACTCTTCTGTTTTTCTTACGCAGGCTATATAATTTACTATAACACCGATGCCAATGCTGAAATACACGATTGGGTCATTGAACCCGTCGTAGGCAATAGACTGACCCACCAGATTCAAGAGCTGACCCTTGACACAGCGTATTATTTCAAGATCCAAGCCCGGAACTCCAAAGGCATGGGCCCTATGTCAGAGGCCGTTCAGTTCAGGACACCTAAAGGTAGGTTGCAGAGGAAGGCCCAACACTTTTGATTTACTATATGAAACAAGCAATTGATGAGGAAAAAAGGGTTTCACCTGGTACCGGGAGCTGTAAAACATTTAAAAAAGGTAATTGTCTATCTGGGATTTTGGTTCTACTTTGCCGTGACCCAGGTGGATAGAAACAAACAGTTGTTAAAACGTTTGCGATAAAGGAAAGGTAGGTAGTCATTCTTTCATGTTATTTCAGTAGGGCAGCGATTCCTAACCTTTTCTATACCCTACACCCCTAGAATGCTTCTTTTTTTAAAAAAAAAACAAGTTTTATTAATTTTCCAGTTTTACATCCAGCAGCGTGATGATTGGGTAATCAATAGTCCAGTAACAAGATCTTTTGTACATGTCTCAGGTTAGATCATCAAAAATTCCCTCTCTTATTTCTCTTGATTATTATATCACATTCAAATTAATACATTTATAATTATAACTCAATTAATTAAGGCATTTATCAATATATTTTAACTTATACATATCCATGTCCTGTTTTTAAATTTTATCTAATTTCAATTACAGTATTCCAATTTAGCCTTTAACATCCATAATGTTTAGACTTCGGGTAACCCAAATTTCCCTTATTTCATTACAAAATAGTTGTCATATCTAAAATACACATATTGTTTACTTAAGTACATTCTTACTTTATTTCATAAATATATTCTGTTGCTCATCCTAGTACTTCATCACTTACTAATAAAGTATCCTTTGTTGTCTCGATCCAACTTCCGTATTATAATTCAAAACTATATTCTAATGGCTAATTTTCATTTCCCTTATAAATCTAAGTCCTAATTATTAAATCAATATCTTTTAAAATCTCCTTAGCCTATTAAGTAAGAGTCTGATATATTCTCACACCCCTTACAAAAGTAATACCTGGTTATGCATATACACTATAATTTTGAAACTTCTAAACCCAAGTTTTCACACCCCCTGGAATATCGTCTCGAATCCCTGCTGCAGGGTGAAAACCAATAAGCACTAAATGTAAAGGGTATTTTTGTGATAAGCAATATTTTACATGCTTTGTTTTTGAGCAGATTGTTTATCAGGCATTGTCCTCATTAGAAGAACTTATTATTATCTGGATTTCTACGCTGCAAACGCAGTGGCCTAGAATGTTTTTGTTAGGAAATAGGTTTCTGTGATTTATGTAATATATTGGTTGATCTGAAGAGCAACTAATGCAGGGGTTCTCCACCTGTGGGTCGAGACCCCATTTGGGGTCGAACGACCATTTCACGGGGGTCGCCAAACAGCGCAGTCCGCCATTCCCCCCCCCCCTTTTCCTTAGCTGTGCTCCTCCCTTTTATTCTATTGGCTTTTGAAAGCCAATCGAATAGACTCTCTTGAATAGAGTCTAATTCTATTGGCTTTCCAAAGCCAATAGGAATTGTCCAGGCTGTCTCTGCCCTGCTGAGCCCGCCAAAAGTCCCAGTCTGCAAACGGTGCTGCACCAGTTGAGTAGTCCTCGACTTACGACCAGTTGAGTAGTCCTCGACTTACGACCAGTTGAGTAGTCCTCGACTTATGACCGGTTGGAGGTCGCGGCATAAAAAAGGTTGAGAACCACTGAACTAATGCTTTCTGAAAGGCTTTAGCATAGGGGTGGGCAACCGTGTCTCTTTGAGAGATGGGTTCTCCCAGGATTCATCTTTTGGGAGCTGGATAGCATGCCAAGGCTGGTCAAAGCTGAAGCAAGCTGGGAGAGAAGTCCTGTTTTTTTTTTCCCCTCGTGCCTTTTTCCTTCCTTGCTGTCTTTTTGGCCTGCTGCTTCCTCGTTCTGTTTTCTTCTTCTTCAAGCGACAGACCGTTAAGGAAAGCGTACAAATGGGTGCCTCTGCTTCTTCTCAGCCCAAAGTTTGAGAAGCTCTTTGTAACTTGCAAAGGGTTTTGTCATTAGGTGAAAGATTCCACCTAAGTTTTTAGCAGTAGTACAGGTAGGCCTCAAGTTATGACCGTATTGGAACCTGCCCTTTATAGTGCTGGTTATACATTGGGTAAACCGTGTGTGACCCACCTGACTTTTACAGCAGTCATTAACCAAAGCCAGTTTTCAACCAAATCGTCAGGAAAATGTGGTCACATGACCATGGGATGCTACAAACAGCCGTAAATGCGGGCTGGTTGCTGAGCACCTGAAATGTGGTCACATAATAATGGAGGGAGGTGGGGCTATCAGAACTTTGAATTTGGGTCATAAATACCCTCCAGGGAGGTCCCATCAGAATTTTGGATGGTTACTAAGTGACCATTCGGTAATCAAGGACATTTGAGTTTCATAGAGTCCAGTATGAGTATCATTTACCATTTTCGGAGATTGTTCTTTCCATGTCACTGAACATTGCTCTCTTCTGTGCTTCTTCCCCTGTGCTTGCCTTGGTAGCTGAATCATCAGATAAAATGTCTAATGATCAAGGTAAACCAATAAATCTGCTTTATGTGTGGTGCTATCTTTTATGAGTATTATTGTTCTACTTGTGCTATTGAATGACAATATTCTTGTGAAATTTTAAAATATAAAACCCCGGGGCTCCTTTTGGCGAACAGTATATTTGGAATGTATGCAATTTTTTTTAATCTAAAGTGAAATTATTGCAAATTAAAAACTCCACAGTGACTTTTAAACTCTCTGTATGCCACTACGTTTCACTCTTTTTAAAATCAAAATATTCCATTTATTGGGTGGGAGTTTTGATTTTTTTAAATCTTTTAGGTTTTTTTTTTTTTACTCTTATAGTATTCCTTTATTTCGTAGAAGGCCTGACAATACTGTGGCAAAAATAATTCACATAAATAAATAAGGATTTGTTTGTATATAGTCATCACAAACCAAAATCAATATACAATAGCTTGAAATAAACAAAAGCAAGAAAGCAATAAGAATAATAAAGGCCCTCAGTGGCAAAGACCGGTTGCAATCATCCAGCCTTGTATTCTCTTTGAAGTGAGTTTTTCACTACATTTACCTCTTATCAGCCCCCAAAGGACAGGAACATCTATCAACTGGAATTTGTCAAGAACTGAACGCTGCATCGGTTGTAGAGATTCTTACATGTGATCTGGGCTTTGATAGAAAGGATTAAGCAGGGGGATAATCATAATGTGCCCACTTCCCTTTCGGATTTAATATGTCTTGAAAATACCTGCCATATCAGTGATTGAGTATGAGCTCTTGTAAGATAAGCGTTAGGCTCCAGCTTTACAAAAATGGGGAAAAGGGAATTAGGAAAAAAAAACATGTACAGAAAATTACACGTATAGAAAATTACATTTTGTCTTGTTATCAGAAAAGATTTAGGCTTTGATTACAAAGGTATATTATCGCTATTAATATAATTGGTTTGACATCTTTAAATATCTGCTACAATCTCTTGGTGTATATCTGTGTGTGTGTGTGTGTGTGTGTGTGTGTGTGTACTTGGAGTATGTGTCTATCTTGAAGATAGGTTGGCAATCAGACAAAACTCAGCTCTTAGAGGGCTTCAGAGACCATCCTGTTATTTGATGAGATTACAAAAAGGGATGTAATTAACACTTCCAGATATATTTTTAGGAGCTTTAGGGTTTGTTTTTTTAGAGTTTTAACATTGGGGATTGAAGCAAAAGTATTATGAGAATCGAACTGTTCCTATTTCCTCCTTTAACTCCCTCCCCCCCAAAGAAGTCCAATATTTTTCCACTAAAATTCTTTAGCAAAATAATCTAAATTCCCTGGCTTCAATTTGGCATTGATGTTTTTGAGAGGGCTCTTTTTTTAAAAAAAGTTGTTGGCCTATTGGAACCCTCCTGTTCCCATTCCTGTCTCTTTTGAAAAAGCAGTAACAATTTTCCACTAAAATATTTGGGGCAATGCAGTCTCAAGCTGAATAGGTACTGGAGAGCCACAAATTCCCTATCTGTGATCTGTGTAAAACCAAAAGAACAATGTATTAAATTTTCAAAAGTGAACAGGATGAGATAGTCAAAATCCTGAACACTGTTACTTTTTTATTTTTCAGCATTGGGATCTGCAGGAAAAGGAAATCGGCCAGTGGATGTTGGAACAGATTATAAAACACCCATCAGTGGTCAGTATCTTCTCATCTCTGTTAGTGGCCAAGAGCTTGAAACGGTTCATGTTATAATTTCCCCAAAAGATAGTGATTTTCAGGTCAATTTTCAGTGTCAAGGGCTTATTAGAGAAAAACTCAGTTGAAATTCCTGCCAAGGCAGGATGTGTCTCTCGCATAACATGGGTTTTGATTTAGCATAAGCAGTAATTTTCAATTCTTTCATTCACATTGAAATTACAGCTCTAAAATAATGTTGAGTAATTTTTCTGTTCTTTCTTAGGAAGCAACAGCCCTCATGGCAGCCCCTCCCCCCTAGAATACAATATGCTTCTGATAATAATTGTGTCTGTGGGAGTGATCACCATTGTGGTTGTAGTGATTGTTGCTGTATTTTGCACACGACGGACCACCTCTCACCAAAAAAAGTAAGGTTTTGTTTTCAGTTGCTGTGTGTGTGTGTGTGTGTGTGTGTGTGTGTGTGTCTTTCTGCTGGTTTCAAGGATACAGATTTACAATGAAAGCAAAATAAAAGGCACAATAAAGTTGCCTATTGTACTTTTGTGGACTTCAATTTTAGGGCTTTCTCACATAAAAATTCTGTGCCTGTTGAACAGCTCTAGACTTCTCTGATTCTATATTGTGAATAATGTTGGAGGGTGAATTAATGTATTCAGCTAATACGCAATGATAGTTAATAATGGTTCAGATTCAGTATAGTTGAAACCATTTCAGAACTATATTTTGGGTGGATGGGTATGTTTTTTTTTTTAATCAGCTGCTGTGCCTCTTGTTTCTCCATGGTAGGAACATTTGTCTCAGTCTTCCCTGATAACATTTTCTTTTCTTTTTTCTGTTGGTTTGTCAGCATAGAAATAGATCAGATGAAGACACTGATTCTGCAGGAAGGCTAAAATTATGCTTTATTGAGATAGGCTCACAGTGATAAGATCCGGTGGTCTTAACAGCTTCTGGATGACTTCTCCAAAGTCATCTCCCTAGCTTCTTCCTTCCCCTTCTGCATGAAGTGTGGATGAGGTGATTTTCGTTGCCACAGGATATGCAGCAGCCAGTGGCAGGACAGTCCCCAGTATTTAAGGTCAGCAGAAATGAAAACAGAAGCTGTTTGCCTTCAAGCTGCTTCTCGGTGCTTGAGAGGTTAAAAATGTTGATGGTACCGAATGGACTTTGGCATCCAAGTAAGATACGCAAGGAGCCTTCCCACTATTTTGAGATGAGCATTTGGAAAGAAGGAATGAAGATCCTTCATGCACAATCCAAAGCATATTAATAAAGGGGAATATTGGTAGCTCAGGGTTGAAATGTGCTCTCTGAGCTTGGTTGTTTGTACTAATGAGGTTTCCTAGTTTGGGTAATCTGCAAGAAAACAGTCAAGCTCAGAGAGCACCAAGGACCCTCACAAAAAGTACTACTGGGCAGCGTTATTCTTCACAAAGATACTATTATAGAAGATAATTCTTGCAGGAAAATGGGATAAGTGATTTTTTTTTTTCCTTTCAAAGAAAACGAGCCGCTTGTAAATCTGTGAATGGGTCTCATAAATACAAAGGCAATTCCAAGGACGTCAAGCCACCGGATCTTTGGATCCATCACGAGAGGCTGGAGCTGAAGCCTATTGATAAATCTCCAGATCCTAATCCTATCATGACCGATACGCCAATCCCTCGTAATTCCCAAGACATCACACCCGTTGACAACTCTATGGACAGCAACATTCACCAGAGACGAAACTCATACAGAGGTGAGGATAGATGATGCTGACCTCATTCTTAGCTTGGTGGTAAATGATAGAACCCAACGTAACAAAGTTGCATAGAATAGATTGTGGTGAAGAGTTGTGAAAATTCCCCTATTAGGACAGCTCACTTCAGTGGCCACAAATTTTCTTTATATTAACCATTCCATGTTTATATAACAGATATCATGGTTCCCGACAGATGAAACTCTTCAAAAGAACTTTGAGGCATTGTTTACCTTGAAGAATCTTTATTTTGAGTAGCATAACATTGGTACTGCATAATCAAAGCCAAAACCTGAATTCCCCTCCCTTGGGCACATAGTATCAAAGCACAATTCCCTCCTCCAATTAACAGTCATAAATCACATTCCCCAATTAGCTTGAAGCCGGGCTTCCTCTCCAGTTCTCCAGCCTGCCAATTTCTTATCAGCTCAGGTTAGAATAACCTTGTTTCTCACGCTGGGTCCAGTGTTGTTATGTCTAGCTGGACTCTCGTTCACGTCCCCCCTCCCAGCAATCATCTAACTCTAAAAGCAAAAAGGTAAAAGATGGCTACATTTCCATCTCTTGTCAATGCAAAAACATCCGATGTTAGCAGGGTTGACAATCAGGATGTAAATCAGAAAAAAAAAATGCAGTAGTAATGCTATTAACGGCTCATTATTGTCGAGCATATCATTTGTGTTACTAAAAAGTGGATTCTTCCCCACTTTTGAGAATTTCAGCCGTAAAGGCTGCAGATTTCTTTGAATGAAACTTTTTTTTTTTGGAAGGAAGTGAAAATACTTTTTCAATATTTGAAGGGCCCCTCTTTAGGAAAAGAGCATTTTTTAAAATGCTTCCCTGCTGAATCTTACGGTTCTTTCCTAACAGTGATGGCAAACCTTTTAGAGCCCGAGTGCCCAAACTGCAACCCCAAACCCACTTATTTATCACTGGGTGCCAGGTGGGCGTGGCTCACTGGGTGGGTGTGGCTGTGGTGGTCATGGCAGATTGGGTGGGTGTAGCCAAGGTGGGTGTGGTCATCTTGATGTTGCTTGTGGGGAGGGACGCCTGTCGGGGCCGGGCCGGGCAGGGTTGAGGGAGATCCAGGGGGTCTCTGGCAGGTGGGGCGGTGGGCAGGAGGCTCGTCCTATGGGGTAAAGCGAGGTGAGGCACGGCAGGGCGGGGGTGCCATTGTCGCAGGGCAAGGCAAGGCCGGGGCGGCTGCTGCCTGACACCATCGGCCCCTGCACACACAGGCCAGTGAGTGCATGGGGGCCGACAGTGTCCATCAGGAGCCACAGCCTGCCGGCCCCTCAAACAGCGCACTCTGGGGCTCCACAGCCCGTGGCCAGCAGTTCAGAGAAGCCGCCTCTGAGCTGGACAGCCGGCTGACAGCTGAGGAGGCGATGCAGTGGGTTGTGCCCGGGAAAAGGAGAGCATGTGAGGCCAGGAGGGATGGGACGGGGGGGGGGGGGAAACCAGCCGTGCCGGGATGCATCCAGCCACGTGGGACCTCGGCGAGTTAGCGGGCAGCTGGTTGAAGAGGGACGGTTGCCATCTCCGGGGCATGGCGCGTGTGCCCACAGAGAGGGCTCTGAGTGCCGCCTCTGGCACGCGTGCCATAGGTTCGCCACCACTGTTTCCTAACATGGACATCAAGACGAGCAGAACCTAACTTTTGATCTTCTGAATCCAGGGCATGAGTCAGAGGATAGCATGTCCACCCTGGCAGGAAGAAGAGGGATGCGGCCAAAGATGATGATGCCCTTTGATTCTCAACCTCCTCAACGTAAGTCTTAGCTTCAGGGTTTATCTCCCAAAGCTGGCTTGATTGAGTCAAACATGGTTTCTGGCTCCATCTCATCCATGCAAGATTAGCTTGCCGTACATTTAAAGCAATAGTCCAATGCCCAAGTCTTAAGAGCAGTAATTAAACTTCTAGCTAAATAGCCTGTTTACATTTTCCTTTGACTGGGACTTCAACCCCTTGTTTTTGTAGATTCATCCCAGCGGCAGAAAATAATTCACCCTGCCTGTCTGTGTGTCGTGCAGATATTCTGAACAGAATAGCCTGCGTTATATCATAGGTTAGACTTACACCAGGAAATGAACCGACTTGGACTTTTCACCTTAGTATGGGGATGTAATTTATGGTTCTCCATAGCGATATGCTAATGACAAGCCTAGCAGATTTAAATAACAAATATTACCAGCAAAAATGGAGTTTGCACAGCCATTGTTTATGTATGGCTGGTCCAAGAAATGTCATGTACAACTGAGGGTTCTAACAATTTAATCTATTTAACTGTTAGGGAGTAGATAAACGCCAGAACCCTACAGATCAGTGCCAGATTGCAATTGTAAATTAGCCAGATCCTGCTAATACTGATTACAAATCATGTACACAGGTAGTAAAAAAAGCTGAGGAAAGTAGTTTTTCTTTCAACGGCGTTAGTTGAGAGCCTCTATTTATCGTAACTTGTATAATTAGAGTGATGCCATACTAATTTGTGTGCCACGGAATTACAAAGATTTTAGATGGATATATTTTTCTTTAAAAGAGTTGGGAAAGGGCTAGAGGGAAACAGAGATGTATTTGGACAGTGAAGGTTACCAGATTGGAGGTGAAGAAGGGAACAAGTTTATGCTTGATGGCTCCTCCTCACTCGAGTTAGTGAAACAGTAAGAAAAATATATTGAGAAATTGAGGCAAGGAAAAGATACTTACAATTAATTAATCACTGTGATCTAAAAGGTATTTCAGAAACACCGATGGTTATACAAATCCAAATGTCAGTCTTCCCATCAAGAAGGTGAACCATTTTTATATGCAATATTCAGGCTAATATGGATTGTGAGGGTGGGAATATTTTACAGTGATTTTCTCACAAATAGTGTAAGAAAACTTTCATTATTCCAAGTGGAGATGTTTGAAACGTTTCATAATTTTACAAATCCTTTCCTGTTGCTTTTTTCCTCATTAATCAAGGGAGATCAGTAACATTCCTTCATTTTCAGAGATTATTTCTTTCTATCATGGTGTGCTGTTAATGCATTTGTGTGTGGTTCTTTTTATTGGAAAACTAAGTTTTATTATGGCTAAAGGCTGGCATAGAATAATGGAACCAGTAACATGAGAATAGTTGAGTTACTGAATTTGTTGTAAGCTATACTCTATTTTATTCCAGTCTGCAATATATCCAAACAATTCAGATCTTTGGTACTATTCATTATAAAATACATTGCAGGTCTATCATTTATCATGACCTCACAACTATATTCCCTTCCATTCACAGTGTGGGAACAGAGAATTAAACTTTCTTTGGGTTTATATAACCATTTAACCCATTATATGGGTTATATGGTTATATAAACATATAACCCATATGTTTATATGGGTTAAAGCATAACCTAACTACAGTAAGCGGAAAGTAATGGATCTGCAGCCAGCTCAATTACAACCTAGGATTTCTCTGTTGATTTCAACACAGGAAATAATCTATATAGTGAAAATATGATCCTTTAAGGTTACTTAAGAATCGAAGATGTATAAACGAACTCAGCATTAGCATGAGTGCAGAAATTGTGAACTGAAGGGAAATTATCATATCAGTGATTTATTTGGGGATGTGTTTCTGTACACTTTAAATCGAGTTCATCAACTGAACAATTTTATGTGGCGGAATGCATCCAATTACGTTTATATAATGCCATAAAGTTGGAGACATCTTGTTCGAAATTACCCATTCCTAATTATGATCCAACGCCTAGCTGCCAATCCATCCTCAGGTACCACAATTCCTCTTTGCTCATATATGGCAGACGCTTCACTTTGATCATCTGTGCTTCAGTCTCACGTCTCACCTCAGCGTAGGGTGCCGGGAAACCAGTAGGTTTCCTTTCAAGCAAGTCAGATGCTTTTTACCATCCAGCCAGGCCAGCATCTGCAATTCTTGCTTCCTAATGTTTGTATCCCTGGGGATTTCTTGACAGAACAGTGGTCTCTTTTTCCAGGTCTCTGGAACCGGGCGTCCTGGTCTCTCTGTCTGTTTGTTTCAATGCATTTTTGTGGATGAAAGTGGGGTGGGGGGCTTCACTTCAGCCCGCATGCCGGTTGGTCTTCTGTTAAGCTTTTTTTTTTTTCTGTCTTATGTTCGTTCGCAGCTGTGGTTAGTGCTCATCCCATCCATTCTCTTGATAACCCTCACCATCATTTCCACTCCGGCAGCCTGGCCTCTCCAACCTGCAACTATCTCCATCATCAGGCAAACCTATGGCCAGTTGGCACATCTGTGTCCCATTCAGACAGGGCTAATTCCACAGGTGAGAAGGACGGTTAGTTTTTGGAGGACCAGAGAATCGTGAGGACCAGAACCTCACACGATCTAATTGCAGGTATCAAACGACATGCTGGGATGGCCATCTCTAGCCCAAATCTACCAAACTCGGAAGGTTGTATCTGCTGATTGGAACGAATTATGTGCTCCTTTTTCCTTTTGCAACGGCACACGCTGTAGACGGATTTGGTTTGTTTTGCCGCACTTTTGTTCTGTTGAAGTCGAACTGTTAACTGCTCAACAGCCCTCCACACCTTAAGCTCTGAGAATAAGGTGGTCGTTTCTGTGTTTTTAGTGAACGGCACATTTAACGGCACGTTTGGAATTTTATTTAATCTTGTATCTGATGGTAATTCAGCTTCTCTGTTGAGAATTTAGATTTGCATAATTTGCTCTCTTATTATTAAAGCTGCAAATAATGACTCTGAAGTGAGAACACTTCCTTGTTTAATTGTAGAGCGCTAGTAGCATCTGATTTAATTTCCAACATCAAGAGTCCCCGTTTTTGCATCGCATATGGAAAAACTAACAGCTTAGAGGAATCTATACCTAGCATTAATAAAACCACCTGTAAGCTAGCCAACTAAGAAATCTCCAGACACTTCACTGAAGGGATGAACAAGATAGAAAATTCAGTGGGTGATTTGGAAAGCTTAATATTATTCAGTGATTATATCAGATGCTAAGATTTAAAAAAAAAAAACAGTTTAACCCTTTATGTAGCCTAAATGAAAAGCATAAAACTTTAGCAGCAGTGTAGAGTCACGTATAAGTGCTAACTAAATGAGCTGTGGGGTGATTTTTTTTCAATTCTCTCAGTTTGTTGGCCTTCTTCGGCACTAAAGAGAGCTTGTGACCCAACGAATACCATTGAAAGCGCCGGGCAATTTCAGGGACTCTCTGAGTGTTAGGTTGAAAAATTAAAGCTAACGGTTCACTTCCTTCCTTCATTTCCAGAAACGATTCGAAATACGCCCAGCACAGACACCATGCCAGCTTCTTCGTCTCAGACATGTTGTGCCGAACACCAAGAGCCAGAGAGTGCGTCGGCATCCTACCTTCCCAGTACCCAGGAAGAGGAAACGGGCCAGAATCTCCCCACTGCCCACGTCCGTCCCTCTCATCCTCTGAAGAGCTTCGCTGTGCCAGCCGTCCCGCCCTCTGGCAGCGCTTACGACCCTGCCTTGCCAAGCACCCCTTTACTATCCCAGCAAGGTGAGTAGGGAAGAGGGACAGTTGAATGGAGAGGATAGGTGAGCGATACCTTAACACGATCTTCTAGATCAGAGGTCCCCAACCTTTTGGGCGCCAGGGACTGGTTCCGTGGAAAGAAGTTTTTCCGTGGACTGGAGGGTGCGTGGTTTTGTGTGCTGCCTGCATCCCGCGGATGGGGCTTTGCTTGTTTGTGCGGACCGGTTGCTGGCATGCCGCGGCCTGGTACCGGTCCACGGACCGGGGGTTGGGGAACCCTGAACTAGGCAATGCCAGGGCGTTAAACCATCCTTAAATTGCTAGCTTAGTATTAAGGGCAAATACAGCCAATAGTTACAATAGCCATGCTTGTAAAGTAGAGGTCCCCAACCTTTTGAGCACCAGGGACTGGTTCCGTGGAGAGAAGATTTTCCGTGGACTGAAGGATGCATGGTTTTGTGTGCTGCCTGCATCCCGCGGATGGGGCTTTTTTTGTGCGGACCGGTTGCTGGCATGCCACAGACCGGTACTGGTCCATGGACTAGGGGTTGGGGACGCCTGTTCTAGATTGGTGTTTCCTTTTTTTGAGCTTCCGGAATTCCCCAGCCAGCACGTGTGGAGTTGAAATCCTCACATCTCAAAGTTGCCAAATGTGAAAAACGCTGATCCATAAATAAATGTCAGAACTTCTTTGAAGTTTTTGACAACTGCTACAAAGTCACAATTACTGTAGAAGGTCAGCTTAATGGCATTCTTCTGCAGGAATGTCTTGGGAGGGGGTATTGAATAAATCACTTTTCTTGTTACACTCACCCTTTTATTTTCTTTAATGCAAAGAACTGATCTCTCCTGTCTTGCCAATTTAACAGGGAAGTTTAGAAGAAAATAGCCACGTTCCCACCTTTTGCTTTTTTTAAAAAAAAAAAATTCTGTGCAATTTATATAAAAATGATTTTGCCTTTTTCTTGAGCCTTCTAATTCTACTCACAGAGTTGTGTTCAAACTCATCATCGCATTTTTCAAAACGTCACAATTAAAACATTGCTTTCTCAGATAATCAGGAGTTCTAAATTCTTTGGGTCCAGTCCAATGTTCAGTGCGTACAGAGTTCTGTACCAATAAAAAGTGATAAGGAAGAAAAAGCCCTAAGGAGTGGCAAGTAATAAGATATTGCCCATCGGTCTGAGGCAAACGAGAATTTTGAGGTCGTGAGGCCAGAGACAAGGTCAAAATGCTGCAGAAATTATGACATCACCCAAATATAGCTAGTACTAAATCAAGGCTGGTTGCAGAAAGTTGAATATTTGGAACAAATAAATCCTTCCTGAGTAAACCACAATTGCCATGGGATTCTTCCAAAGATAAAGATTTTTCCATCTTTTTGCACTTTGGATATAAATGTTACTGATACTCGTATAGGCTAGGTGGGTCTGGTTCTGCCATGGGTGCACTGATAGGACTCAATTCCACGAAAATAGGCAACCTTAAGAGCCGTGGTGGTGAAGTGGTTCGAATGCAGGATTACAGGCTAACTCTGCCCACCCGCCAGGAGTTCGATCCTGACCAGCTCAAGGTTGGCTTAGCCTTCCATCCTTCTGAGGTTGGTAAAGTATTGGGAGGCAAGATGCTGACTCTGTAAACCGCTTAGAGAGGGCTGTAAAGCCTTGTGAAGCGGTATATAAGTCTAAGGGCTTTTGCTATTAAGAGCTGTGTTGGCAGAGTTGTTAGAATGCAGCATTGCAGGCTGACTCTGCCCACTGCCAGGAGTTCGATCCTGACTGATTCAAGATAGACTCAACCTTCCATCCTTCTGAGGTCGGTAAAGTGAGGACCCAGATTGTTGGGGGCAAGATGCTAACTCTGTAAACCGCTTAGAGAGGGCTGTAAAGCCTTGTGAAGCGGTATATAAGTCTAAGGGCTATTGCGAGTGCTGTTGCTATAAGTTTAAAATCCAGGATGGGGATTTCCCCCCCCTTTCCCTTGTTTTTCTTTCCACCTCACCTCTTTCCCCCCATCTTCTCCTGAGTGGATATGCCCGTCTAATGTCATTGCATCTGACTGTATTGAATCACCACAAATCTGGTTCATTACCCACATGCCATTATATACGTTTGTCAGTGAAAAGATTGACCGTGATTATACCTGTGTCAAGCTTCTAGCCATCCAGTTCATTCAGTGAAGACAGCATCCATTGGAACTCTAGGCAGGACTCGGCCTCCCATGCCAGTTGTAGTCCCGAGTGCCCCTGAAGTGCAGGAAACCACAAGGATGCTTGAAGACACAGAAAGTGTAAGTGTACTTCTGGACTATGACTTGATCACGCGATATCATATCTGGCTCCGTGCCGGTGTATAAATATAAAAGTAATAGCAGGCAGACCCTTCCCCACTGCACACTGAAGGCAGAGGGGAACTAGACTGAATACAGAGCGTCCTCAACTTATAAACCCAAGTGGGAGCAGAATGTCCACTGCTAAGCAAGGAGGTTGTTAAGGGAGTACCATCTAACTTTGCAACCTTTTTGGCCTCTTTATGTAGCAAATCCCTTCGGCTGTTAAGTGAATCACACAGTCATTAAGCAAATCCAGCTTCCCCCATTGACTTGCTTAGCATCAAAAGCCAACTAGTTGGGAAGGTCGCAAATGGTGATCACGTGACCACCAGGATGCTGCATAAATATATGCCTTTTGTGGCCCGAGGAGAGCTAAGTCCAGCCCACCTTGATTTCCATTGACTCTTATCTACCTCCAATTTGCTTTGGCCGTTAGTATCTCAGATTCTTGTAGAGAGCTTAAACTTGCAATAAATCTTTATAACCATTTGAACTGCCTGGATCTTCTGATTTTCCTGGCGCTTGGCAGTCGGTAAAACGAGGACCTAGATTGTTGGGGGCCATATGCTGACACCGTAAACCTCTTAGAGAGTGCTGTAAAGCACTGGGAAGTGGTATATAAGTCTAAGGCAGTGTTTCTCATTGCTGGCTGTGGAATTCTGGGAGTTGAAGTCCACGTGCCTTAAAATTGTCAAGGTTGAGAAACACTGGTCTAAGGGCTCTTGGTAACCTTCCTTTTTCCCCACACAAGGCAGTTCATCTTGTCCAATAACCCTGTTAAATCTCCTACAGAATTACGAACCGGATGAACTCACCAAAGAGATGGCCCACCTGGAAGGACTAATGAAGGACCTTAACGCCATCACCACAGCGTGATCACCTTCCCCAAGGAATGACTCCAAATCACAGGTCTTGGGACTTCGCCTTGGAGCACAAGGAAATGTATAAAGACTAGGGGACAGCACAAAAGGAGACCTGCCACCAGCCGCAGCAGCAGCATCAGGGCCTCTTTCCAGTTAGCCAAGTGACTCTTCTTGTTCATGGGGCTGAAACGGACCTCTTTGAATGTTGGGATTTCCGCTTCCTGTTGAAACGATGATGCTGATGCGAAGAAGGGATGGGGCGACGTCTCAGGCTGATGGAATCCAGCATCCAGACGAAGTTAGCCTCCATCGGAGACCGCATTTGTCTCGGAGCTGTGACCTTCCCTGATTTTTCAGTGTTGGACATTCACAGTTATGTAAAATTTTATTTGTGTGTTTTTATTTTATTGTATCTTTTTTTTTTAATTAAAAAGTGTAATCTGACAAAAAAAAAGAAATTTGTGTTGTTTCCCCACAGCCTAGAAGGATGTCCGATTGCTTGTTCTATTGTGTATACGGGAATTCATTGCCAGTGTGGATTGTTCCGTTCATTTGTTCGTTCGGATTTTTAATTTTTATTTTATAGCGTGTATAATTCTGTCACCTCCCAGCAATTAATCCATGGCCTTGGGGTATGCTGCATTGCTTTTTGTAAGCTTTTTTTATTTTTATATTATAATAATTGACTAGATCCTTTCTCATCACTGTGAGGTTAACTGTCTGTTTGGATTGAAATGTAACATCGAGGAAACTTTTTCGTTTTGGAGCATTTCCAGTACAGGAGTAGAATAAGTAGCCTTGGGCTGGGAGCCACAGAGTGGTAGGAAGTTTCATTGTTTACAGGGACAATGCAATGCAACTTTGTCTGTCGAACTCTTTTAAACCCTCCCCTGCAATATGCCCAGTTGTGACTTAAATAAATTATTATTACGAGAAATTTCCCCAATCGCAGTGACTTGGAAAAAATAACACAGTATTCCGAAGGATGGCTACGACGTAATTCTATTGCAGTTACTCACTTTGGTCATTACCTCTGTCCATCCAAGGCCTTAGCGAAAGAAAGCGAGCAGCACACCTGTGGCTTAAAAGATACCATCTCAACCAGCCCCAGTTCATCAAAGGGAATCGTCAAAATGGAATGAAGACTTAAGTTATCATCTCCTTTATAAATTCATCCTTTAGTCCAGGGGTGTTCAACCTTGATAACGTAAGATTTGTGGATTTCAAATCCCAGAATTGACTGGGAGTCAATTCTGGGAGTTGGCTGGCTGGGGAATGTTGGGAGTTGAAGTTCACCGGTCTTTCAAAATCGCCAAGATTGCACACCCCTGCTTTAGTCTGTTTCTTGCCAATTGGAAAGGGTGCTCCATTGAGCAAAACCCTCTTAATAAGCTCTTTAAGCTCAGATACCGCAGCGTACCTTAGCAGCACCGCTCTTATTGTTTGAATGTTTGATTTTAAAGTTGTGTCTTTCCTGATACTTGCGTTGAAGTGGGAGTTTTATTCCAGGTTCTTTAGCATACAATGATCAATCATAAGCTTTATGTGAGACATCATTCTGTATAGCTGTAGATCATCTTCAAGGTTTTGGGGAAATACCTTCCAGTATTGAACCACAATCAAAACAAATTAACTTTGCAGGAGAGAGGCGGGGAAAAAAATGTAGATGTGTATGTTTGTGACTCAGGTGCTGCCCAAGCCAGTAGAAGAGAGGAGTGGATTGGGAGAGATAAATAAATTCCTAATAAGCTGGTAAAATTCTGTTTCCTCTCTGTGTTTTCTGCCCATAATCTACGATGACAGTTTAACATGCTGAAAAAATAATATTTTACTTTTTTAAAAAAAAAAACAAACATAGAATGATGCTGGCTTAAAAAGATAACGAAGAATGGGAGGCTTTGATTTTTTTTTTATTGTAACCAACTTAAGTGGTATTGGAGCCCTGGTAGTGCAGTGGTTAGAATGCGGTATTGCAGCCTAACTCTGCCCACTGCCAGGAGTTCGATCCTGACCAGCTCAAGGTTGACTCCGCCTTCCATCCTTCCAAGGTCAGTCAAATGAGGACCCAGATTGTTGGGGGCAAATAGGCTGACTCTGTAAACCGCTTAGAGAGGGCTGTGAAGCGCTGTGAAGCGGTATATAAGTCCAAGGGCTGTTGCTGCTGTACCAAGTTCCGTGATAACAAGATTATGATAAGATGGGATCAGTTAGAGATTTTGTAAGTTCTTTTAAGTTCCCATATGTTCAAAGCTTGGATTGCATGTTGCGAGCAATTCAAGTTTAGAGTCACCTGGCTCATGTTACCGCCAATTGTACAGAGAAGAAAATATTTTTAGGAGCAGGTAAGAAGAGACCTATATCACCCTTTTGTCTGTCTTCTGTCCCTCCCATCTATCATTTTTCCCACACTGTTTTCCTTCCTTCCCTTCCAGCTCAGCCTTTGTTTGCACCAAAGAGCTGAACTGATTCATTCTTATTAGCCACTGCTTAGCGTGAGCGTTAAGAACGGCCACGCTGAATCCAAACAAGCCATCTATTTTTTAAAAGAATGTTTTTTGCAATTATATAAGAAGTGCCATGAAAGCTAAAAGTAGACCACCTTACTCAGTGCTCTGTCTTCCAGTAGTAACTCTTTGTGTGGCACCTCAGAGATAATCCATGCTGTTTACAGTTAAGGTGTAAGCTTCATTCTGGTAAGTTAATTGATCCTCCTGTTTGGTTTGAGGTGGAGCAATTAATAATAAAGGGTGACCAGCTTTCAGTTCAACCCAAGGAGTGGAACGATTCACGATTCACACCTTGACCTGTATCTAGATGTCTTCTATATGCGTTTTTGAAGCTTGGAGAGCAGTTTCCCTGTTAGAAGGTGGAAGATCTCACCCTTCCTCATCCTCATAAGCCAGAAGCATCTTTTAAAGAAACTTTTGCCTCATTAGAAGATGCTAAAAGAGGACCGTAAACACCCTAAGGCGTACACATGTTGAAATTTTCTGAATCGAACCATGGACGTGACCTAAAGTTGGGTGTCCATCAGGGTGAGTGACAGTAACCGGCTCCACCCTTTGGTGGAAAGGCAAGACAGGCATGTAAAAGGTAAAATGACATTAGATGGGTCTTTTTGTGGCCAAAAGTGTTTTGTACGACCGTTTTTTTTTCATTGTACGGACCCTTTTTCATAGCCAAGAGTATGAAGTCTTTTCTATCTTCGGAGTTCTCGCCGCATCCAGTGAATTTAGTTGGTGCACACACTCTGCTCCCCAGGTGTGTGTGTGTGTGCCTTTCTCTCTTACTAGACCCAAAGAAGCATCATCTTGTATATTCAGTATTCCTCCCGTTGGTGGGCTCTTGTTATATTATACTATATTGCTACTTTCGTAGAACATCAAGAATGTTGATGATACCGCCACGAGTCTGGGAAGGGGTGGGATTGGGGTAGGGAATATTTTTAATAATAATGAAGCAACTGTTCAGAGTTGGTTTTTTAAGGTTGAATCAAAAAAAAGAAAACATTTATTCAAGCCAGTGTATAATATGTATTGCACTTTTTACATTTTAACACTGTTTTTTTACATATCTTGTGATTTTAAATTTGCGACATTGTGTATCTTGTACCCTCATGGCTGCTCTGTGCAGCTTCCTCCACTTGAATAAGAGGATGGGGTAGGGTGGGGGGCGGTTTGGGGTGGGGGGGGCAGAAGAGACTCCTGTATATTGCTTTACAGTTCTGATGTAGAAGAATTCTGAAGACTTTCTGTACATTATTTTTCTGTAGTATTTGCTGTATACTCTCTACATTTTTAATACTGTCATGTTTATTATTTGGTATTGGATTTCCAATACACTTTTTTTTTTAAAATCTAAATCCAGTTCCCACTTTGTCAAGAGTTTTTGTTGGTTGGTCTTAATAGTTTGTCTTCCCATTTCAGCAGCCCCACGTGCTATGAGAAATTCAGGATGTAAGCATCGTAGTTTAGCTGCTGCTATGGGAGACAGGATCATAACTCTCTTTAAGCGTGTAGGATAGATGCGAATCGTTATCAACAATTTTAAGGGTTTAGTAAGGAAGACAGATACTTTTATCTCTATTTCACAAATTAAACACTGCACCCTCTGAGATAAATGAATCCTGAGGGTTATAATTCACGTTATTTTCTCAAAGTTGATCAAAACCAGCTTTTGAGTTTTTGGTCCTCTCTGAGTTTGATTGTTTGCAGAAATTTCATTGCCCAACTAGGTAACATCTTCAGTGTGATGAGTGTAGGATTTCTCCCTATTTATTACAGTCGCTTACCCTCCCAGTGTTTGTATAGGGTTATGGTTTTCTCCTTGATAGTTCTTTGATTAGGGTATTGTTTTCCGTTTGATTGCTTGTCTGGTGTTAAAGCCTGCTTATTTGAATCTGGGCTACTGGAGGGGATGTGTTATTTTTTAAATTTCCTTCCTGTTTTTGTTTTTTTACTTTAGTGCATGATGTAGAAATGCTTACGCTCACACTGATGATGCTACCTAGCTGGGTAATAAAATGTCTGCACGCAAACAACCAAGCTCAGAGACCACCAAGAGCTGCATAGTTTGACCTTAAGCTACAGATATTCTCTTCTTTGTTACAAGGGGGGCTTTTTGCTTTACCTGGGGAAAATCTCAATGTCTTCCAATAAAATATGTTCTCCTAATTTTCGGGGGGGGGGGAGGCTTAAGGAAATAAAAATGACGTGGCCTCTATAGCAATCTGTGAAATTGATGCTGCTTGAATATTTCTAGCCAAAGCTGTTCAAAAACCGGGCACAAAATTTGAAAAAAGGCTGTTTCTCGTCGTCATTCGCCTGAATTCTGAAAGGAGAGGGATGAAACAAGAAGGATCAGCAAGTTTTTCTGAATGTGGTCAAGATTCCTTGGTTGTGCCGGACTTTATGCGGCGAAGGAAGTCAGATGGGTAGATAAGTAGGGTTTCCACCCTTATCTTGGTCAGCTGGGACTGGGAATTGAAGGCTAACAAACATGGAAGATGCCTCCTTGGGAAAAATTGATCTGTGCTGATGGCTTTCCAGAGTTTTCCCCCTTCCTCTTCAGAGCACCTTCTTTCTTTCTTCTGAGGCCGCAAAAAGGGACCAGAGACTTCCTGAACTCAAAGTACCATATATTCCGCCGTATAAGGCGACCCGGCGTATAAGACGATCCCCGTCTTCGGCGCCGAGTCACATGCCTAGAAAGTCGTCTTATACGCCGGAAACTACCGTAATTTCCGGCATGTAAGACGACTCGGCGTATAAGACGACCCCCCCGACTTCGGCGCCGATTTCAACGCTTCCAAAAGTCATCTTATACGCCGGAAAGCACGGTAAGTATTCTGAAGCCCAATTATCTCTCTGTGGCATCGTTGCCTCTTCCCTAAAGATGTTTGTTGTAAAAACAAATTGCCTTGCTAGAAACGAGGGACTTTTTGATGCCATGAAAGACT